AAGCTTTGGGCGAAATGATTGAGATTGCTGGACTGATGCAATAATCTGGAGTGGACCTAGTCAGAAACAGGGGCATAAGAGTAATAATCGATAATGTGGCACTCATTAATGACATTCATGATCGCATCAACGATGTATGTCCTTGAATGTTTGTATGATTTGTCGGTATCAATATATCATGATACCCTTTCAGAGGTCTTGAAAATGATTGAAATCGAAATATATAAATATAAAAATAATCAAAATATCATAAATGACATCGAGATGTCTTGAAATCGTTTTCAAGACTGTCATAATTTAACTTGTAATTCGCAGCATAGCGAATGGACCACACACAAATCACACGTGTGGTAGCCACAGACATTTCAATATTGACTGCTTGTGATCTCTCTTGGTAGATTAAAACTAGCCTCCCGAGGTAAGGGATCTCTAGCCCCACATGTAGGGCTGTGGTGGCTTTTTTTTTACAATCTGTCTCTTTTCTGTCGCCACCACAGAAAAGAGACAGATTGTAAAAGGGGGCCATTACAGCCCTACTTGTGGGGCTAGGGATCTACCCAATTAATGTGTGCGTTGCGTCCGGCCGTCAAAATCGCCCTGGGAGCGATTTGACGGATACGCAACGCTTGGCGCAAGTGTTGACGCGCATAATGGGCAGATCTGGTGGTCTGTGCGTTTTTATAAAACCTTACTCACAGACTGTGTATCTAGCTTGGCCGAAAGTGCCTCATATCGGACGCCTGCTAGTTTAACTGTTTTTGCACCGCCGCTCCAAAAAAACCGACACATGCATCCTCACTCTGAAAAAAAACTATACCCATAGCAACCAAAGAACTACCAGTAGCAACGAAACAACGAAACCGCATGAACAGTAACCGTGTATTTCGGCCCATCAGAGTTGTTGACTTGAGTCAGTTAACTTGGACTGTTATTGCTATCTTTATGAATCGTGACTTGACTTGTAACTATTAGTTTTTGACTTGGCTTATATGGGTGGCCATAAGGGCCAAATTTAAAAAAAAACAATTACAAGCAAACAGCATTTTCTGATTAGAATATTAAATAATAAAACACAAAACTAACATCAAAAACAATTTACGAAACAAATTATTGAAAAATTAAATAAGAAAAATTTAAATCAATATGTCACTAAAATTAATTTCCTCAAAAAATAAACAATTACGGGTGAACAATATTTTCTTATTAAAATGTAAATAGTAAAACACAAAAAAAATCATAAAGAAATTACTTAAAAATAAATAACCAACATTTGAAAACAATATGCTCCAAAAAAAGTTCCTAAAATGATAACCGGAAATCAAAATACGAAATTTACTGATTAAAAAAAAAATCCAATTGGCGAAACCAAAGGTCGCCAACAGTTCACTTCAATTTTTAACAACGAAGCTAAACGCAAATCATTAGAAAAATTCTTAAACATATTGGTTCCAATAATACTTTATTTTTTGTAAAATTGGTTTTGACCCTTTTGGCNCTGGGACAGCTCCCACCACGGCTTGGTTTGATGAATGTAGCCTAGCTGTGCGATGCTACACACACGTACCGTACCCACTCCGTCTGACTTGCATTTCCAATGGTCCTGCCAAACCGTAGTTTAGTTACACTCATATACAACTTCGCCTCTCTATAACTTTGCCTTTTGTGTGTTGTATTATGTTAAGCTACACCTTCTTCAAATCCCTTTTGAACTTTGATGAAGAGAAGTGAGAGCAATAAACCAACCATACAGTTTGACTGTCACCCAAACCCCTTTGTTTCACGTCCACCCTTTAATAATTTGTTGACCCCAAATATCACATCCCGTAGACACTAATGAAGTCCATGCTACCATCGACTTGATATTTAGGGAACGCAACAATATTATTTGGCTGCAATTTTTACATCAGCTAATTTCCCTTTGTTTCTAGTTATCATTTATGGAAGATTGTTTCCAAAAGGGGAAGTAAAGTTGGAGAATTCATGCAATATCTACTGATAGCACAATGCGATCGCGCGATGGTGCAGATCGACCGAGAGCGCCTAACATACCAGCGCGGCATACAGCTACAGGCGGGCGCGGGCCGGGAGGATATAGGGAAGGGGCGTAATCATACATGTCGCCTGTACGTCTTAAGTTTGGTGGACTGGAGTACGGCCGCCACCATGAATTTCAATTTTTTTTCCGGACTGTTTTCCAAAGTTAAGAGTGAAACGAGTGGAACATTTGGAACCGGGTTGGGTGAATATAAATGATGACCTTTTACGATCGAGGATCACCCAACCAAAAAGAAAAAGAACTGGATGTGGAGAGCATTCAAATCCTAATGGTCCTCCTTGGGGAAAATTGGGAAGTGTCTTTAGGCAAGGAATTCAATAAAAAAACCACAAACTGTTAAATTTAACACCCCGGGTGTTATCGGAGCACTACACCAACACTTTTCGCTGGTGTTAACAATGTTGGTTTTATTTGGTGTTATGTTTAACACCTTCCAGTGTATTGTAATTAACACTTATAAGCGTGCAAAGTAACAACAACGGTGTTAAAGTAACATCCTATTGTGTGGTCATCTGGTAACCCCAAAAAGTGTTGATTTTAACACCACAGTTTTTGCAGTGTAGAGGTTCATTAAATTTCTACCTACCGTTTAACACGTTTATCCCACAATATGTTAAGAAACTTGATATGTTACGACATTGAAATGCGTTTGGGATTGTTTTTAAATGTTAAACGCCTTCCCATGGCACACGTTTTGGCTTTGTGATTTCCATTGAGCATTTGAACATATTCCTAAACGCTTTTCAGTGTAAATATCTAACATTTTGTAGATGACACGTATTGGTAGGTACAAAAAAGCGTTCATAATTGTGTTTGACCTTTTTAGTGCCTTTTTGTGATGTTGTTCGGTGGCTTTTTTCTGTACAAGTTCTATATGAACAGCAGTGAGTGCTGGACTCATGCAGAAAGCAACATCAGTAGAGTATCGGCATTGCCCCAGAAATACCGTGGGACTAATGGGGATTTGAGAAAGCTTTGATACAGTGTTTGTCCCGGGAGATATATACTCGTTGCGTACCTGGATTATGTCTGAACCCGTGAATAAAAATGCAAACAAAGTTCCAGACGAGATACAACTGTCTCATCTGTGTTGCGATAAATATCTGGAAAGCAATGAAATGACCCTTCAGAGCAAACGTACCCACGCTCACGAGTGTGTATTTGCCTGCAACTGGCCGGGGGACCCCCTATTGTTCCTCTTTTGTTTGTACTTAAACGTTTTAGAAGATCACCCATATGTTTTGTACACAGTCAATCGGGGACCCTCTGTCAATCGAGGACCTTATTGTCCTCTATTGTTCAGGCTCCCCAATTGAATGCAGAAACAAACTCACAGAAAGTGCCTATGTATTTTTTGCAACTTTCCAGTACCACACCTCACCTGCGATAAAGTGGCTCGTTTACCAGCGTACGGAACAAACACACAACGTTTGTCATTTCACAATGTCCGTGAAATAGCATTACTAAACTTGTTTTATACTGAGTTCTTTTAAACTTTGCACGTACATGTACATGTACTGAACTGTATAGGTGTATTGTGTCGGCATCGGTGCTGTTGTGTCAGGACAACCACACTTCACCTTTGACATCCGACGGATAAGTGGTTGCCGCTCGAAAATACAACAGTGGCTTATACAAATAATTTTTTTTCATGCGAATGTGTGTGTCGTGCATTTCGTACGCACTAAACTGCATAGGCTTATCAAGACAGTCACCCGGGTGCTGAATTGTGAAGTTTACGGTGCATGGATGGGATTTGTCTGCTCATTTCACATGGACCAACAGATACTGTAGTCATAACCAACACAATGGCTTCGGTACCTGCTCTTTCTGTCTCCACTGTCGTCTTGCTGTTCCCTGTTTTTGCCAGTTTGGCTTTTTTCACAGTCGCGACAGACGGAGAGGTGGATAACTTAAAAGATGGGGCACACCAGAGGTACGTGCCAGTTGAAGAGTATATCCCACACTGGGTCGAGGCACCGTCCTCTCTGGCCGACTACCCACTGCGCAGCAATCGCACCGTGGTCGACCCCTGGGTGTACACGGACCGCCTGGGGCTATACAAGATACTCCTACGCGCCACCTCGGGGGACCCGACGCTGGGAAGAGCCAATAACACGGCCAACATCCTTTGGGGACTCCCCGTGCAGCACGGGTGGCAGTTCAAATCCGGCCGTTTGATGGACTTCCCAAACGGGACCCGTTGCAGCCACACGAGGAGGGGTAGCTCGTGGAATTGCATCTCTCCCTTCAGCTGGTGGGCCAGCATGAACTACTACCTGTCCGTGTTGCCGTTCCTTGGCGCCGTGAAAGCTGGTTTGTTCTCCGATTGGCCCCACGAGATCGAGATCCTAGCTTCGCTGCATCATCCACAGGACTACTGCACCAGCTTGGAGAGCTGCACCACTCGATTCTCATCCGTGGTGGACGACTGGGAAGACTTCTTCGATATTCTGAAGTATCGCTCGAGCTGGTCGGATCCACACTTCCAAAGCATCACAGGAAGGGATGGAGATAGTTTCCCTCCTGTTCCATTCCCGACACTTAGCCCAAGAGAGCAGGACATCATCGCCCAGCTCTGGGTGGCTCACACCAACTCCTTAGAGACCGCCCTACCGCTGTTCAGTGCCTCCCTACTGCCGCTCATGTCTGAGCCGGAGCAGAAATTCGGCCTGAGCTGGGCGAACCTAATCAGCTACATCGCTGCCGTCGATTTCGTCACCGATCTCAACACCACGGTCGGCTTTCAATTGAAGTGTCTACCTCAGCGTGTTCTTCACCAAGGGGATCGACCGCCGAAGATACCTGACTTTTCCTGGAACGTCAATAAGGCACTGCTTATACTCGAAACCGCCCAAGACATTGACCGATCAACAGGTACATGTACATGTATTGTTTTAATACTTCCAAAAGGCACTCTGAGCTTTCTTTACTTAATTCTCAGCAAGGTCTTAATCGGAAATCGTAATGTGCTTCAAACGAAAATTTTCATTATTTTTATTTTCATTTCTAAATCGTCTTCTGAACACTACGACGAAGAGGACTTCTAATATAATTTGGGGTCATTTCAGTTTGGTTTATCTGCAGAGATCCTGACGTATTTCGTTCTCTGTGTGTATCTTTCTGCCAGGTGACGCGCTGAAGCATGCGTGGCAAGCCCTGATGTGCTCGCCAGCCAGTCAGGCGAGAGGGCGCTACATGATGGCTAACCCAACTCTGTTAGCCACCTTATGGAATATCGTCACTCTCTTATGGTTATACATCACAGAATGCCTGTAACAGATATCAACAACGTAAACTATGTTGTTAAACAGTTGATTTAATCAGATAGGATTTGAAATAATTCCGTCATGTATATTTGAACGTAGCTCGACAGCTTTCATATTCTTGACTTTACCTTTTGTGCCCAAAAGTAGAGATTTCTCCACAATTAATAAATAATTAGCAATTAAGTCACAAAGTGTCTTTTTTGTAGGTGAAAAACCTGAAAATTAATGTTCCAGAAATGTAGCTGTATAGAGCAATTACGTGTGTAGTTGAAGTTTATGGAGTGCCGAAAAATGGAGAAGGGTCTCGGCCTCAGTACAGATGTGCTTTGGTGCTATTTGAACGCTTGCACATTTTGCTGCTTACTTTTGCTGGAAAAGTTGGCTTCAAAATGGTTGTGAAATATCCAAATAATTGTGGGATTATAGACATCTTTGTATGAATAGTTCAGGGCAGAGTTGAGGACGAGGCCTCGGCGGTGCTAGATTTTATCGTCTCTGCGAAGGATGAGCGGCACGTCGTCCAGGGTGGTGTTGTTGGGGATGTTGCGGCGGAACGCCAGCTCCTGGACCAGGCCGTGCTTGTAGGCCCGCCAGCGCTTGTCCTGCAGGTAACTGGTGAAGGTCTCCTCGTAGGACGGGTAGAGCTGCTCCACCGTCTGCTGCATGCACTCCAGGGACTTGCCCCGGTCATGCCGCATGAAGGAGACACGAGACACCAGGATGCACTCCACCTTGCCCGCCGAGATGATGTGGGTGCGTCGGAGGTCTTCCCCTGAGGGTGGTGGAATCATATAACATCTCGAAACCGACCCGACATAATTAGACATTTTAATTGTGAAATAACTACGACAGTGTCTGCTTAATTTGGAGTCTTTTCATTTTTGTTTCCTTTTGCCTGATTTTTTTTTAAATTAAACTTGAAATGCTTATACTTACACCAAAGATCGAAATCGGTCACGTCACACAGGTGTAATCTCGGCGTACCTTAATGTCAGATTTTTTCTGATTAATTTATATCTCTTGTGATCAGTTTCTTGTATAATCCCCAGAAATTTGTAATTAATTTTTACTTGTATTTGAAAATAAAAAGAGCTGTAAAAATGATTTGTCAAATTTTACAGTTGGCTGTAGTTGGAAGTAGGTGACACGAGTCTCCTGACTGCTCACCGACTCCGAAGAATTTGCCCTTGCCGATATTAGCGATATGCAGCAGCTTGCGGCTCAGGCGCTGGTATTTCTCCGGCTTGAAAGAGTCCAGCACTTTGTGGTCAGCATCCAGTGGTGGCAGGGAGAGCTTAGTGTGGCCAAAAGGTAGGCAGCTTTGGAGCAGCGTCACCTCACGCACGACCTTGCAGGTACCAGACTTGATGAAGTAGATGTCGTCGGGCGCCTGAGCGAGGTTGCTGATTATGGGCTGTACGATCAAGTGCCAAAAATTGAGGAAAACGAGAACATCTCTTAAGTTTTTAACATCCGATACCAGTCGTATACTATGTTGGCCGGGTCCCGTAAGTGGACTTCAGGCAAGAGACATTCACCTTTAATAGAGAAGCATGTCTTTTTCAAAGTGGTTGGCGGGCGGTGCCATTTCTGTCTCTGATGAGAGCTGCCATGATCGCCCGTCCCCACCGCTCATAGAGGGCGCTGGGAAAGGATTTATACAAAATATTTCGATAGGATCCTTGAAACCTCTTTACCATTTTCCCCGAGTGTTTGGGGTGAAAATAGTGTTCATTTTGAAAGAGGTTCAGTTACACGGCACGTGAGCAGGCAATGGCTACGTTAGAAGTTGTACTTGCCGCGACGAGATGTTTTTCTTTTCCATGCAGTAGCCGTTCTACGTCTGCACACAATCAGCCTTATGAAAAGTTATCCGCCATAGATGATTTTATGAGTGGAGACTGTTGTTTCAGTTATTCGGGAGTGTTACGACTTATGATTGCACACAATGTAGTATCTAAGCAAAGGTTCCATTCGGGTTTTAAAGGATTTTATTCACCTTTTAAGTAAATGTATCTCCTTGATTGGGACTGTAGACTAGACGACTGAATTATTTTAGTATAGCCGCTGGGGTAGCCTACCCTGTTTCATACCGTTTGCAATAAGGAGAAGAAAGGGGAAGTACGTGTACCGTGTTTGGCGGGAATTCCACTAGTTTTGCTCTGTCGTTGGTGGCGCTAAGCTCCTCTTCTGACCACTGGCCAAACGCCGCCAGCGACCGCAGTGCGCTCATGCGAGTTTCCCACTCCTGCTGGTAGCTCCGCCGCAGAACCTGGTCGAAGTCAGGCTTGTCCAGAACGAGGAACTCTGCGTCTCCTTGCAGCATCGACAGAGTAAGGAGGAATGATAAAAGATACTGATAAAGAGAAGGAATGTACTTAACAGATTAACTTGTGCTGGGCTTTCATATACATGTACCGTACTGCTCAAGCTTCCTTCGGAGTTGCTGGATTGAGCAAAGAAACTGCTTAACAGGAATTCGCCTTTGAAGTACTGCAGCAGCGATATTAGGGCCTTTAGCACAGCGAAGACTGTACAGCCACCCGTATACTACATGTGGCGATAGTTTGATACTTTGCCGATCAACAATACCGCTTTTCCAAAGGAGGATGTGAAACTCGGTATTATCTGCACTCGTTGATGATCTCAAGAAGATCTCAGCAGCCACATCTTGTCATTATTGACTTCAGCAAGGCCTTTGGCAACGTCTCCCACCAACATCTCCTAGAAAAGCTCCACCCTCCAATACAATGTACCTGCTTGGATCTGCAGTTCCCTTACCAAACATCATTGGAGAACAGTAGTTTATGGTGAGTCGTCAAAATGTCTCCAGTCGTTTCAGGTATTCCACTGAGGATGATATTGAGGTCCTTGACATTCTTTGTCTGTATGAATGACTATCTTATACCAGCCTAAATAATCAAGCTTGAGGCTATTCGAAGATGATTGTATACTATATCGTGCAGCTAACAGCATTCACTATACAAACTGAGTGCCTGGAAACAGACATCAGCAACCTTCCAGAAGGGGTCTACCTGGCAAATGGATTTTAAGAAGGCTAAGTGTTTCATATCATGAGAACCACCAAGGCCTATAGAAGAAAACCCATCCTACACCAGCACACAGTGGGTGATCACATCCTCAAAGAGGATGAGGGAATATCATCTGACATGTCCCGGAACAAGCCATCAACAGTAGCAAAAAGAATCTTGGGTCAACTTACGAGGAACTTGTCCTGATTAAAATCAATGACTCCAACTGTCAATCCAGCATTACTGACATGCTGCGCTTACTCAAAAATGAGACACTTGAAACCAGACGATCTAAAGCTTGTCTGCAACTAATCTACAAAGAAACCCAAGGTCTCATCCCTTACAACATTACTCGTCATCTCATTTACAATAAGAAAACAAGGCCAAAAACAGACCAGAGTACTGGAAGATTCACCTAAAAGCACACCTTTGCAAATAACAATTGCTATCATAAGTCGTATCCCAAAACACTTCTAAGTTGGAATTTGCTACCCAGGGATCACCCTCTAAAGATCGAGATGGCTGATCCCAACAAAATACCAAAATCAAGTTCGCACATACTCCACGCTGTCGCACTAACTGTACAGGATAGCCACACCAGGCGTTTGTATAGCCAGCAGATGCAGCAACTTGAAGGTTGCGTGGTTACAAGTCCTCTACCTGCCTTATAACTAGTAAAAGATATTAGTGAATGAAATCATACATTTCGAGGTAGTTGAAAGCACTGGTTAAAAATTATTTGGCTACCTTTACAGATAATTGTGGCCGTCCGCTTCGATCCGTGAAGCAGCGCCAACTCGCCGAATGACGATCCTGCTGTATGCTCGCCCATTATATGCGTATTGCGTTCACCTTCAACAGAAAGTGAAACGATTTGTGGACAGTAAAGTCAACACTGAGATCGGCTTTCAAACTGACACACTTATGTTCAGTTTTACGTTCAATGCAAGCAACCATGGCGTCGGAAGAAAGTGTATTCAAGGTATCAGAAGTATACAAAGCAATGCTAAGGATGTAAACTCATTTTTTGTAACTTTGGAAACTTCAGAAATTTCCACATGTTCATTAGATACATTGCCCAACTTTCTAAATTTGACTGACGGAGGCACACGGGGACGTGAAGCATAACAAGCTCGTTGGAGCAATGTTAAGCTGTTTATCGCATGCTGAACAGATCAAATGGCATTTTGTGCGTCTTTGCCATAGAGCTGTCTCAATTTGCAAACGATTCCTATTGGGATTGAATGTATGATTCCTAACGTCGTTGACGCTTACAGAGTCATCACACACCAGAACAGATTCAATACCCTCCCCTTCCAGCAGGCCACCACCCACCTGTCCTCTTGTCCTCTTCCGTAACCTCCACCGTGACAGCCCCGGACAGGATGAAGTAGAATGACAGCCCTGGATGCCCCTGCTTAACGATGACCCTGCCGTCCTCGAACGACTCGTAATGTAGCACACATGATAGCTCTTGTTTGACGGTACTGGAGTAACGGTCGAAGCATTTCAGCTGTACAGGAAGGCAAATCAATATCCTTAAAACCCAATGAAATTACCTGTACGGTCAGTTTCAATTTGATCTGCAAACACTGTTCAGTCGACAACATAACTGAGCCAGAAAACATCAAGAAATGGCCACGTCTACAAGGTATCAGCATTCCACAAGTTGAGAAAGGCAAAGTACATCTGTTGATTGGTCAAGACTCGCCAAAGGCTCTTGTGCAATTGCAAGTGAGAAATGGGCCACTTCGAATGTCAAGAAAGGCTTCAGTTACTTCAAGCTGTGTGAAAAGGGAGACGATGCACTCGTGCAACAGCGTCACTCAGAGATTCTTGAGATCGGATGCTGCCGAGTCACTCTATGATGATGGCAAGGCCATGTCAGTCCAAGACAAGAGGGCAATTACACAGTGGGAAAGGACTGTGCGCCTAAAGGATGAACATTGATTATGATCTGCCAGTACTTTTCAAGAACAACCCGCCAAAGCTTGTTGACAATTTAATCGTCGCAGAGCAACGTCTGACTGCATTAGGCAGACGTCTTCAGAGGGATCATCAGCTGAAGTCACGTTGTGCAGAAGGCAGAAAAGAGTTGGTTGACATATGCTGAGTGGGTTGTAGGATATGATGATCACAGTCACTCATGTCTGCTGTTGTCGAAGTTTCGTATATGGCACCTCTAAAAGGGTTACGATACTTTAAGGCTTGAGCTGACCGCTGCGACACTCTCTGTGAGGCCGGATGTGATGATCAATAAGAGTTCGCCCTATGAAGAGTCAGTCTTCTGAACTGATAGCACGATAGTGCTTCGATACATCAACGCTGTAGAGAAGCGTTTCCACACCTTTGTGGCGAAGAGAGTTGCCGTCATCCGGAATCAGTCAAGTCCTCAGTGGCGGCACATGGAAACCGGGTGGAATCAGGCAGATGTTATCACGAGAGGACAAACCACCAACGGACCTCTAGCCATCTAGAATTGATTGATTGGTCCTGTTTGTGCCAAGGTGGCCGGGTGTGGCTAGGACTACCGATCTCAACAACTCTTGACGATAAAGATCCAGAAGTTAAGCCCGAGAAGGATATAGTCACCACAATGCCACCACAAGCATGCAGATTCAGCCGACTCGACGGACATAATACATCATTTTAACGCTTCCTTTATTACAGTTTAATGCATGTTTAGGGGACACTCTTTTAATTTGAGGATATTCAATTCGGGACAAAACTAAACATAAAAACAAAATAGAGACAACTTATTATGGTTCTCGAGCACATGCCATAACAGTGTAAGGTACTGCATGTAAAAGATACGATGTACACGTTGACCTAAAGACAGGTTGAGTTTAAAGACCTGTTTAATTGTCTGCTATACTTCGATTAGTTATATATGATTGCTTGAATTTACTTAGATAAGCAGATCATGGCCGTTTTGATTCATGTTTGTAATTTATAACCGTTTAAAGTCAATTTGTTTATTTGTTGTGGACAGATTAAACTGCATTCAGGCATGTCAAGTTAATCAATCTCCGACACCACATCCGTTGCAAAACTCAGTGGAGAAAGTACATGGTCTCTATACAGTTTCTGTATTAATTAGGCTGTTTCAAAACCATTGAAGAACAAACCTTGTCGACGAAACTGAAGATGTAAGCCAGGTCTTCGGGGGATCGCTCCCAGGGGTTTTTGCGCATGGTCAGCTTGACTGCGGCCGGCAGGGTGGTCACGGACTGCACGTTCGCCTTGAAGGCATTCACGTTGAACGTCAGACTGGTATCTTTGCCTGGTTCATAAAGTTTTCAGAATTATATGCTGGACACCGACAAGGAAGAAAACATGCGTACATCGGTAAACTGTTGAAAAGCGTTTAAAATATCAAAGCTATTACCCTCTAAATCTTGGCAATCGTTTCCCTATTTGATCAGCATTGCTTAAAACGTCATGCATCTGCATACACACGTGGAAAACCTTTCTCAAAAATCATCTTTCACTCAGTCATTAGACCAATTAATCGTTAAAATATCACTGTCCAACATTTGTAAACTTTTTCCTTACAGCGTACGATTTTAATCCGCATGAATGTGACCGGCTCTTGCTATTTAAGAGTTCCTGATTTCTGTTTCATTCACGGTCTCCGAGTTATTCTCATTGTTTGTGTAAGATTGTTATCATGGACTGCGTGATTTTTACCATCTTCTTGTTGCACCGTGAATTGAGATTTCTGCTCTCCTTCCTGCTTGGAGGCGGCCAGCATCTTGGCCCATTTCAAGTTGTGCTTGATGGTATTGGCGATGGCGCGAAATCTCTCCAGTGGCGTTCGAGCACACTGCGTGAAGTAAGAAGCTAGAGTCGCTATTTAATCGATACATTAATGCAACACGATGAGAACTTTTATTTAAAAAGAACCTTCATTTTAAACTTTTATTAAAAATCAGGAGGAAAAGAAATTGACAAATTTCTCCCCAAAAATAAAAAAATAATAAGGGGCTGGATTAACTTCAAAGTGTCCTGTTAATCTGTGCTGTATTCGGCGGATGTTGGAACGCTTACCGGCAGTGGAACTTTTTATTAATATTTTTCATTTAATTTACTGGAATGGAAACCCCTTTGTTTGAAATAATTAATTGGTCGTCTATTTCATTCAGAACCCCTACCCTGATGTTTTGCAGCTATGATGAAATACTTTAAAATTTACTTGACGTTGTCTTTCGCATATCATTCTTAAAGCTCTTTATGTAGGCTGACGTATGTTTAATTAATTAAATGCACAGGGAAATATATCATCTCTAAATAAAAAGCAACGTCTAAGTTATATACAAACCAGAAGCGCCCGTCTCCGCGCTGCACTGTCATGTAGTAGAGGAGGTGTGTTGAGAGGCAGTACATTTTGGATGACTGACGACCTCCGTCTGCCCCTTTCCCTCACCGCCTCATCTCCCTCCTCATCCATCGCACCACTAGGCTTGGCGTCCTCAGCTTTCTCTGGATCACTGGGCCCGCCGACGTCCTCGCTCACCTCGGGACGATATTTGGCTAGGTCATCCTCCTGCTCGCTGCCTTCATCTTGGGAATATTCATCGCTTCCCTCTGTCGAGCTGCTGCTGTGGGTCTTGACAAGAGCTTTCGCTGGCAGCGGTGGGGGAGGCGGCAACACGTCCATGATGGTCGCCCCTCGGCGCTTCTGCAGTGCCGGGTTCATATAATCCTGCTCTTCATCATCGTTATCAACCTCCCCAAGGAACACACTCGTCTCCATTATCCTTACGGTCTACTTGGTTTTCAGTCTCTATAACACACAGGCCTATACTTCACCATGGCGATGCTTTTGACACCTGTATCAATATTTAAGCTTTTTAATATCCAATATTGGTATCGTTCCGTGACGTAATCTTATAGACGTTGCTGTCTGGCCAGTGATGAAAAACTTGCACGACCGTATTGTTTACCATGATTTTCAGCTTCGTCGCTATACTTAATTGTGTGAAGAGGGTTGCGATTCTCCGCATTGTGACGCAATAAGACGCTAAAAAATTTGATCCAATCTGCGTCCTGCTAAATGCGTGTAACGTGTGCTGAAGCAGGCCAATGCCATAAATACCAGAAGAATCTATGGCCAGTGCGCGCGGACGACTAACGTGACAGTAATAATGAAAATCGATGGTAATATCACATGGCTCTGTTTACTGCAGGGCCTACCCGGTATAAATGGGAAATAATACGGATCTGCTAACCAAACGACCGTCTGCTTAAAATGGAATCTCCTTTCCACTGTAAGCATTTTATGATCAAGTAAGATATTATGATATACCTAACGTTGATTTCATGCGTAAATACTTAAGCGGCAAGCAGCTTAATAACACTGATCGATGCTTTGTCCACCGCACAAAAGTTCGGAGTATTTTGCACATTTCTGAACTTTCTAATCTACAGTTTCAAATTTCGAAATAGGCCTTATCATGTTAGCGAGTTAACAAACTTGGTGATAATGGAAGTTGTAGTCTTGAGCTTGCAATGACTGATTTCGAGTCTAACTTTTGGTAATGTCAAAGGTCAACCGCGTGAACAAGAAAGAGAGGTGACGAGGCGAGGTGACTGCGTGCGCGTTGCGGGCAGGGCGGGTTGGACGTTCCAGTCGCGATTTTGAGGAGTCTAGTTATTTAGTTTAAAAATGTCTTTTGACAGATCTTCATTTGGTGGTGGTTCAGGTGGTGAAGATGCAGAATTAAAGGAGTTTCTTGCAGTAGAAGGTCAAAAAGCAAAATTTCAGGTAGGCCTCAGGCTAAGGTAGGCTTACATTGCACTGCACTCATTTCGTGAAGAATTGTCACTGCGCGTGTTTAGCATGCATGGTTTACATGGTTTAGCCATTCTCTTGTAGACTCGCTGCGATTTTCCTTCGCTGACGCATGTTTTTTCATCACCATCATGATCATCAGAATCCTGCGCACTTTTTTGATTTCTTAAACACTAAATATAGGCCTATATATAGGCCTACTCTAGGTTAGGCCGAAATCATTTCCAGCTTTTCGTGCTAGTTAGGGGGCCTCACTGTAACTAACAGTCATATTTCATAATACACTATGATATTAAGAATCATTTCCTGTTTTTTGTTTGTATTTCCAGTGTATTGGGGCATCCTGCCTCCATGTTTGGGGTATTGATTAACCCTAACACTCCTCAATCCTTCACCTGCTGGAGGATTGAGGACTGTTAGGGTTAATGGCACATAATGGCACAGAGGAAACATATCAGGCATGGTGTGGTTTTGGGTTGCAGTTCCTCCAAAATGGCAAAATACTCCACGTAGAGTTTTAACTGGATGTCAGAAAACTGCATTCTGTCTCAAAGCTGAACATGAATTTCAACACTTTGGATATTGTAAATGCTGGATGCAATTGACGCATCAGAGCAATGGATGGCTATTACTATTGGTCATTTCGGCTCAAGAAATCTGTCGATCACATTGTCATCGGTCAGTGACCTTTTCTTTCTAATGTATGGTTGGGGAAGATTGTTTTGAAAAGGGGAAATAAGTCTAAGATTTCTCCTAGGATAATGCAGCACAATTGACTGATCACACAGATCCACCAGTTACACCCTTTTGTCACAAGGGAAGTTCTGTCACAGCTGCCAAGCACTGCAACTGTGGACTATTGTAAGGAAATAACTGTCAATTGTCATTAAAACCACTCTTAAAGCATCTTGAAATCATTGTTGAATCCCAAGTCTTTTCTTTTTATCACAGTGGACATTATCGAATTCATTTTTGAGGCAGTTTTAGTGTACCATTTCCCCTTTGCTCTCTGCAATCACTTAGAACCAAGTCCACATGTTCACCGACGTATGCTGGGACCGGTGCGTGGACAAACCGGGCAACAAACTGGACAGCAAGACGGAGACGTGTCTGGTGAACTGCGTGGAGCGGTTCATCGATTCCACCCTGGCCATGACCAACCGCTTCCAGCAGCTCCTCAACAAGCAAGCAGGCCACTGATGCTTAGCGAAATTTGTCGGGCTGGCGGGACCAAGATCAAACACACACAGCACTCCCCCTCCCCCCAACAGACTTGCTGTGGATTAACTCAGGGAAGCAGCGGCTGCATGTCAAGGGGTGGAGCCGGCCTTTAAAGGAGGTCAAATTGGAGGATGTGTCCCATGATTGACTGTCATTTACAGCAGTGCTACAGTTCAGCATCGTCATTTGCGTACATCCATCAGTCATAAATGATACACCTTTAATTTTACATTTTTACCGAATCTGCTTACTGAAGTTGAATTGATCATTACTACAGGAGTTTGGGCTGAAATTTTCCCGAATCCTCCCAAATCTACCACTTCACCGTAAACCGGTGGCCCTATCTTAGCCGTAACTGTGGATGAGGTATCAAGCCCCTTTCAAAGTAACAGTGGCTAGGTAGTATCTTCCTCGATCCTGCAAAACCCCATGGTGGAGTTCGGAAGATCTGGGATTGTTAGAGTTAAGTTTCTATTATTTTATGATGGCTGATCATATTTGCAGTGGAAAGTTTGTGTTGGATTCATAAAAGACAGGATTGGAAGACTAGACTCATGAGTGCAAGCAATAGAGTACCGAGGTGAATACGTCATGCGCACAATTAGTGTGTAAAAGGCATGAGCGCGTGAACCAGCACGTGAACCAACACGCGCGTACTCCATTCGTTTGCACTGCACTTTCTGGTTCACAGTGACGTCACACTTCGGTACTCTATTAGTTAATCATTTGGAATTAATCAGATTTGAAATTAGCATTTCTTTCTGGTCCACATGCATCTCTGCACTAGACAGGATCTTGGATGTTGGCTAAGACAGAATATGCTCAGTTTGTTACCCATTAGTGTATGGTGAATTCCAGAAGTAGTTTACTTTAGTCATAAAATTCTAAAACTGACGCCTCCAGATGTACTATGAAAGACACTAAATTTAATTCGTGTCCATTTCTGCAGAGTTTGACTTTAATCATGGAAATTTCTCACCATAGTGTGTTTTTAAAAGCAGAATAAAGTTACACAGGTTGTGGAAAGAGCAAATCACAAGACTCAGTCATTCGTATGTATTGAATATGCGGCATTTGTGCATTAAAGCGGGCGATAATTGATATTTGTCTTTAATTCCCACAATCCCACATTTTTATGTGCATGGGACCTTTTACATACTAGTCTATACGAAAATTCCTAAATCAGTGTTCAGTTGCAGACGTATTGCCCAACGCATGGGACTTGGATCTGGTCTTGCTACCATAAGAAGACCGGCTGTCCGTCGTTACGCGCCATGTGGAGCAGGCAGTCGAGAACCACCAGCATGTCTAGAACTTCCATGACGGGGCAGAGACACAGCACGCCCCGCTTCAACTCGCTGGGATTGCTCCAACCTAGGGCGGGGAGAACGAACAGGATTACTCGGTTAACTTGAAGGTTATATTCTGTGTCTTGCAGTCGCACGCTACCTCTGTGGACTGTCGACGGTCTTACTTTTTTTGGGAGACCAGAAAGTTGAGAGCAATTCCAACAGAAGCATGCGGTTCTGGAACTATCAAATCTTTTCTTAAATATTCTGCAATGTTGGAACAAGGAGCCTATTTTTAAGGCAGAAAAGGGAAGAAGAAGCGCAAAGAATGGAGCAAATTGCCACTAATATTGTGCATGGTCCTCGCCGTTTGTGTTTTGTAGGCCTTGGGTCTTGGTTAAGGGGGAACAAAATAAAGGTTGTGGAGCCAGAGTTCAGGCTCAGATGTCTCATACTTAGTAATTTGAAAACCTATGCGTATTTTGTCTACTCTCTGACCAATCGTCGTTGCAAGGTTTCAAGTTTACGTTTTAAGTTTTAAGCTTCGTTTGATTTATTACTTGGATATTACTACAGGTCTATTTACAATGGTAATTCAGACACAAAATTAATGGTAAGTTGTTTTCGAACGTGTAGCATGTGTGAACGACCCTGACGGTACCTCTCTTCAACGCTTCAGCCTTGGCCGACTCGACATCCCGGAGCGTACCATAACGGGCAATCACGTCGGCGATAAACCGAGCGTGTCGTCCCCTCACCCATCCGTAGCTCCTCAGTACGTCCATCAAGAGTTCGTATCGCCGATGAAGCACGGAACGACCACCTTGATCTGGGTGCGTGCGGATCATGATCTCCAGGTTTCCTTCAGGAGGAAATTAAAGAGTGACCGGGTGTACTTTTGACTTGATGTACCGCAGTCAGCACTCGTGCAACTGTCGCCGTTGCCCTGCCATCATTGTCATGGTTGTCACGGTCTTCACAGTTACCAGATCTTCTTCAACCACAGGGTGACTATACACTGTTTTTCAGTGAGTTCAGTATTAGAGATCATTGCTTTGCCAAACCTCGGTAATTTCAGATTTCCTTTTAATTGAAGATGAGATTCTTTCTCAAAGAGGGTGTTTGAATTGGCGAAATCCAGATCTTCCGAGATTGTCAAGGTTGTATTGCGTTTCATAGTGGCGTAACTAGGGGGCACCTGGGGGTGCACACGATTTTTTTCAAGGGGACACAAAAGACAATGGGCTGCAGCAGAGGTTGTTCGTGGATTTCAAGGGGGGGCACGGGCATTCGCTGGGGGCACCTGCTTTCCCCGTAAATACGGCACTGCGCTTTAAATATTCAGTGAACAAAATCTAGGACGATCCACTTTTTCGGGTGAAAAATGCAGATACATGTACATTACAATGTTCAAAGTGGAAGGTGATTAGTAATACTAACAAACGCCCGAAATTCGCTCCTGCTTTGAACCCCTTGTGTGTTTACTGAGTTTGATGGGGGTGTGTTCTTCGCTACATTTCAAGAGCCTGCTATGTTGATTGATGAATGTTCATTATGTTCAGCCAATTACGAAGACATAAGTTAAACCTACTACTAACAAAATGTGGTTTTTACCTAGATTATAGCCGTACAAAATCTCTTTGCGTTGGAAAACAAACGCAAGGATTCGTCGCTCGACTTGGAAGGCGATCTCGCCTAGAATCTTCCTGCTCGGAGTACCGTGCACCACGTTGGAATTGCCGGTTTCTTCTGCTTGACGGGACGACAGATATTGCGTCAACGGCGTTGGTGTTATTGACTGCTCGCCCAGCGTCGCCAGCTCCTCGTTGCTCGCCTCGTCGTCGTCATCCAGTGACAAATCCGCGGCCGCCAGGTTGCGAGAGGCCTCGATTGCCTTCCACACCCGGAACCGCTTGGTGGCATTCTGGCGTAGCCGGGCAATGTAACTTTTGGTCTCGGCTTGTCGGCCGGCGAAGGCGCTGACCGCGTCCTCCATTTGTTGGATTCGCGAGTCCAAGCGCTTCGTGCTCTCGTCCAATGAATCCACGTTTGCCTCCGCACCATTTTGAAGTTCAGAACCGGCCGGGATAACAGAGGTACCTCGTTTGCCTCTTTGTTTATCCGTACCGCCCCCCGCCAGCAATGTCTCATCTCCTTGAAGGGCCACGGGGTATCTCATTTCCTTCTTTGACGACGAAAATGGCGGGTTAAAGGAAGCATCTAAACTCTGACTGGGCCACTCAGAGGTATTGTCATTTAGACTGTATCCCGCATTTGATTCAGGACTTCGAAACTTAGGATCTTGAACTACAGACTTCTCAGGGCTTTCCATGGGACCATTGTCGGTCCGTCGACTCTGGCGTGGGCCGCCTGCAGTGGCATTGCTTCGCTCTGTGAATGCTGGTGATACGTGCTCGTCCGCTGCACGGGCCGGCATCATCATGGACGTTAACGTGTACACTGCATTTATGTCATCATCCAGCAAACCCTTGTCTCCAAACCACGAGATGACTGTGCCTATCAGTGCCACCTGCTTTAGGTTGGAGTTCGTCTGTAGCAGGTTCAGCTTGAGCCTCAGTAGCTGGTTCTCCTCACTGAGATCGCGGACCTCGTGCCTGAGACGACGCTGTGTGTCGGAGCCAATCCCCAAACGATCTTGAGCAGGGACCTGCCAGCCTCCGGTTGCCGTGGACGGAGCGGATGCCTCATGGCCGCTGTCCGTCACTGTCCCGTCATCACCGGTTGTCCGTTCGTCTCCCTCGGGCGTCATGATGTCAGACAACCGCAGGGGCAGCATACCTGCTTCAGGAGTCCCAATATCAGCCAGTCGCAAGGAGGACGTATCGGCTGCATCAGGAGTCCCAAGCAAGTTGTCCTGCGCCATTTTCTGTTTAGTACTTTTGCTATGCCATGATGACTGATTTAGACTGATTTGGTGTTTTGGAAAAGAAGTTATTTACCACAAGACCAACCGCCGCGCATGTTTGTTCAACTTGGTCCTTGCGCGAAGTGAACTCTGATAATGCGTTGCCATGATTTTGTATCGAAAGCGACACAAAAAGGCAAAATAACAGCACAAGCGTGACGTCATTGATTCAGAATTCGACATAATGATGTTCGCGCGCGTTGCTATAGTTTCGACGCGCCACGTCCTTGCGTGACAACTAATTCAAATTATGTCCTATTTGCCACAACGCAAATACCGTCTTGTCTCAATTTCTCCGGTACGCCTGTTATTTTATCGTCACGGCCCTTTGATATAGATGATACTCAAGTGCTTGCCTATTATGGTTAAATTAGAATGCACTCAAAAACTGTTGTGCTAATTTCTTGGAGCTGCGGGACAGCACGGCAAACATCCGTCGTATAAGTGGGCGTTGAGCATCTTTTAAAGCGGATTTTTGCGCTATATGTAAATATAATGTAACGGACCTTTGCTATCAACCGAGCGGTGGGTTCTATCTGCACGAAGCTGCCCGTTTGGAGTCACGCACCTGTCCGTCACTAGGTAGCGTGGTGACGGTGCGTGCCTCTGGCCTCCCTGCTGTACAGAAGTGCAGCGCTGGTTAGAGTATCCTGGTATAAAAACGCACCACAGAGAGATACAGACTGGACGCATTCTTTTCATTTCATCTCCAAGCCAGGTCTGATTCTTTGTTTCAAATTTCTACTCAAGTAATACTGTATTAGTCTCAGACCCTATAATTAATAGCAGAGCAATTACATGTATGTAGTTGTTCTAAACTCCCGCCCCCTTAATTGTAATTGGACAGTGCAAAGCTTTCCTAATCCCTGATTGGCTGCAAATTTTGTGAATCGAGGTCACTGCACAGCTGAGTCGCAAGATCGCGCACGCGCAACCATTTTTCCACAAGCGAGAAAGGGGAGTGACCCGTGGTGGATACGCGCAGTAGAATCTACGCGCATACATGTACATTAAAAACAGTGGTCCCTTAAACATACAAAGGACGACCTGAGGTCGTCACAATAACTATGATTATTATTATTAGATTATTGCCAATCTTACCCCCTGGACGGTAACTTAAATTATTGCTGAACAAAACTTTATTTCCCGAGTTCGGATTCACGTGAGAATTTTCCTCCGCAAAATTCAAGTCCTTTGAGAAATCTTGTTTCGTTATTTTGTTTGTATAAAGCTTGAAAATATAGTAGGTAAGGGATACCTTGACTATATTAACTACATGTATATGCAATCAGTTATTCTACATCGTTTGGGTGTGTGTGTTTCTTTTTTTTTTTCTTCAATGAATCGATTACTTGCGTACGTTGTACCTTTATGTGCTCACAAGGCACCATATTTCGGCACAATGATATCTCGAGTAGTGAAAATCTGAAGTGTTCGATTTACACATGTACTTGCTTTTTTTCTCTGCGCGCTTCGAAACATTTTGCTTAATGTGGCAGTAGCAGTTCGTTGTGATGACGCCCTCTCGTTGTGTGTGAATCAGGACTACACCACGGTGGGGGGGGGGCGCTACTTTGAGGAAGACAACGAAACCAAAAGCCCAATAAACTCTGAACTCAGTTTCGTCTTCCAACACGTGGTTCCAGTTAAGACTTGTGCGTATATGCAATCCTTAACGGAATGCTCGTTATTCACAAATTGCTGAGAATATCAGCAATTCAATTCGAATTTCAGTTGATGATAGTCGACCTGTGAGCTAATTTTTCTTACAAATTCACGAGCTCGCAATTTGAACGAAACCTAAACTGAACAGTGTCTTCACCACCCTCATTATTTTGTCAAGAATAGCATGGAAAATGCAGGTTTATCAGTGAAAGTAAGTAAACAATTCGGTTTTCTTGCATTTCAGAATCTTTAGAACAGAAAGCTGCACTGTATCATAGCCCCTTTAAAAAAATTGGAACATGGAGTTATTCATATTAACTGTAACCTGGAAGGTATTGCTTTATAAATGAACTCACAAAGTAATTGAATTTTTTCTGATTATTTATTAACATGTTTTCTAATTGTTAATAAACATATATATAAATTTCTTAAATCTTACAAACTAAAGCTCTTAAACACTGTCAAACAAAATTAATTTTATGCCATTCCGTGAGGGAGAAGAATTGATTGAAAGCAGAATGGAAAAAATATTTAAAAGAAGATGAAGATGATTAAGATGAATTCCACAAATTTGACAACAAATGCAGGTATACATAGCACATGAAAATGTCTTGTACAAGCCTAGAAATTACAGAATATCACCATTACCCAAAATTCATCCTCTATGATACATATGTAAAAAATAATTCATAAAAAATCATAACCTAGTGGAGTAGATCTGTACAAGCACGGAAAAAGTATGATTACTGCAATTATCCCAGATAGCCTGAAATTTGTAAACATTGCCATCCAAAGGCCACTCTGCCTCGATGGTCGGTCACTGAAGGACAGTGATCATGGCGGACTTCGGCAAAAGATACGTTTAGATATAGCATTCCTTTAGTGACATAGACAATGAAAAAGCTAATAGTCGAGATAAAGTCAAATTGTTGCCCCTAATATGTGAGACTGTATCATGGTCTCCATGCAGTAAACGGGAAACAGTGCTGGGCAATCAGCTCAAGACGGCCAGCATATGGAATACACTGATTCAGTGTGCATGCGGTATGGACTTCTCAGGGGGAATTTTCATCGGAATGGGCACAGTCCAGTAGTACACCTGGGCCCAATTCAGAAACTAGCAGAGAACCAGTCTCAAATGATACACTTGTTATGGCACTTCGTCCAGTTACCGGTTTCTGTTTAGCCTATTTCTGTACTGCACACACCTGTATAAATCTTGGCCTCTGAAATACAGCAGCAGTGGTGCTCAAGACTGCAGCATCTCCTTCTTTCACCATTAATATTGTCCTTGTGCACAAAGTGCAACAGTAACACTGTTTAAAACTGCACTGTATTCCAGATCTTACTGATGCCTGACAGATTTACAAATCTGCTGCACCATGAAGTGGATCTCAGCACACCGAATTGCTGTCTGGGACTCTGAGGACTGTCGCACAGGAACTCAGGCCGATGTGCACTGCCCAATGTTCGTGTGGCCTGCTGAGACATATTGTACTGTCAGGAGTCTTGAAATTACGAGAAGGGACTCATTGCTCGTTATGAAGACAGAAACCTTTTGGCAAGGTGTTGGACCCGTTTCTCAAATGCGGTGGACTTGATGGGGGTACTGGGTTCGTAGAATGGGTTCATGGAATACTGCGGAACAAATACAAAGACAGAAGTTGTCCATTTATTCATGTTGAAATGGCATAAACGTTGTGCTATTGTACAAAACAGCAGAAGATTGACGAAGTTTTGCAAACCAACAATTTGCACAATGTCCGAACCCTTACTGTGGGGTGGTCAGTTCAAAATTCACCAAAGAAGTTTCCTTTTTTTTACTATGAGTAATCAATTTCCACACTGATTCCATGATTACTGGTGATGATTGCTCAAAAAAAAAAGTGTGAAATACATGTGGGGAAAACAAAAAGGAAAAGTCTGGCAATTCCCGTTGTACCTTGATGAAAATTTCATGGACTTCCGAGAAAAAATTCTTGATGCCATCTTCGTTCTTGTTGTCATGGAGCACAATGAAGCGGATTCGTGCTCAGCAAGTCAAGGAATCTTAACACAAATCACAGATACATGTACCTCCCAAAACAATATTAGTACCTTGTAATTTACTTCAGATAATCTGCCTGTTTATTGTATTATAAACTGCACAGATAACAACTGAAACTTTGAATCAGATTCTGCTTCAATGCATGTATGTCTTTTGATTTTTTTTAAATCATGGTAATAATGTTAAGCCCCAACTACAGCATCAGTCCCAACTATAGTTGGGCCGTCCCAACTAGAGTGCTGCAGTTGGGTCGGCCCAACTACAGCACAGTGGTCCAGGGTGCACGTGCCCAGCATACGCCAAAGTCATATTGTTTACAATGTCATGTCATAGTTGATGTGCCATATTTTAGATGAATTGTATCAAGTGTGAGATGCATAAACTTGGATAAGGTTGAAAAATTTTCTACAGAACTTGGTCAACAATAGTTGGGCCAGCCCAACTGCAGCACCACAGTTGGGACTGTCCTAGCTATAGTTGGGACAGATGCTATAGTTGTGGCGTAACACCAATAAGCCCAAATTAAAAGTGCACGTAGCTGTACATCTGACATAACCGAAAGGATATGTCCAGCGGTGACAAAGGCAGAGACGAACCACTCATTGAACTTGTCCACAATCTTCAGATACCTGTCAAAAGAATGACTCGGACATGAAAATGGAGGGCTAGGGCAATTCAAAGACAGTAAGTCAATAAAAACAAGTAGACATTGTCTAATAAGTTGTCCAATTTACCGGTTGTAAACGGTGCTCGTTAAATCGGCTGGACCATCCTCGAAAATACTGTTGACTTAGGTGTAGTTAGATTTAGGCCACTTACATGTTGCTTGTTCCCCACATGTGCTCATCAACAAGATCCAGTGCTGCATGGGCAATGAACTGATTCAAATGACGATGGTCATCTTTCTGTAAACAATTCACAATTTAAAGACCTGATATTATTATTAACATGGCTAATACTAGGGACCCCATTACAAGTCATGATGAGTGTACGCCTACTAGTACTTCTCAAGATTAGGATATCAGGCTTCAGTTGTAGATTTTATGAAAGATTTCAAAATCAGTTCTGGTCCAGTTTAACCATACATGTAGTTCATGTTGAATGAATGGAGAATCGACTGGGATGTTGTCTTGGCCATGTTGTGGGACTGTTAGGCCCCAACTATAGCATCTCAACTATAGTTGAGACCAGCCAAACTACAGTCATGATAGTTGGACCAGTGACAGAAGTTCAGTGTCTGTGCATGTGCCAAAGTCATTTTGTTTACATTGAAACTTGTGCTTTTACAAAAAAGTTTTAAACAGATTAAGTGCCATATTTATATTTATGTCAGGAGTGAACTGCACATTCTTGGAGAAGTTTGAGAAATTTTCTACAGACAATGGGCCCCAATAGTTGGAACAACCCAACTGCAGCGCTACACACCCTAACTCGTGGTTGGGACAGACGCTACAGTTGGGCGTACCGTAGCCAGGTCCCCCTACCATGCCTACATCATTTACATGTTTGCGCGCGCGCGGCTGTACTTTACCTTTGGAGTATCGGCTCCCTTCTGTTGAGAGCTGTATTCCATCTCAAAAACTGGGTTGTCATGATGACCAACAATTACAAAATAGTAGCTACCTGCCATTGTCAGATTGTCGATTGAGCCGCTTTTATCAATAAATTCCGAGTTAAAACAACGTTGGGTTCCTACTGCTTAACGAATTTCGGGAGTGTGATCGGCCAATACAGTAATCTGTACCTTGCCTCCTAAGTTTATTCGCAAAGCTTTATTCGAGATGCTTCCGAAACCAGACTACTTAGAACTATCTGTTCATATTTTATGCAATTTAATAGAAATACACAAAATAGCCGTAGATAATTGATTGGCCAATCGAAATGCTTCTTTCATTCCCGAGCGCGCGCCACCAATCTGCCGATTTCCACCCTGCGAATTGTAGCCGTGTGCCGTAAAAAATAAGTGCATGTTTGAAAATGGGAAAAATCTTCGGAAGCTTTTTTGAAGAAAATTTAATTTGAATTTCTGAATGAAAATCAAATGTGAAACAATAGATCTTATCTTGAACTTCTTATGAACCTCATTGACAAGATGTGATTTGCGGGAATATGATGACCTGACCACTCTTGCCAAATCAATGCGCATCCTTTCCTCCAAATTTCAAGATGGCTACTTCTTTTGCGGGATAGTGAATGGTGAAGAACGATTTTGTTTTGAGCCAAATTCTGCAAAAGCAAGGGAATAATTTACATTTCATTTGAACGGAATGTGAGTATAATTGTCAAGTATTATTATTGTAGCTACACTGTTAGCTGTATGTCGCTAATAATTGCTGATTTCTCAGTGTAATGTTGGCGGTTGTCATGGTTTTTGACCAAGCGGGAAGTGTGCCTAGTTTAGTGCTCCATTGCCCAGTGTGCAACTTGCAAACGTGTGCTGTCACTTGTTATTGTTGCTGTCCTCGTTGATGTCCTACCAAGTCCCAGAATTGTGGGGCACTCTCTGTGTGCTTCACAGTTGCAACTTTCATTGCTTTGTAACGCTGTGGGATTCTGAGTGTGCTCGTTTACACTGTCTAAACCTGCACTTTTGCCATTCTTGCGGTCGGGATGATGTCTCCGATTCTTGATTGTTCTCTCTGATTGATTGGTGGCTGTTAATGTTCCATATTTCACATTTGAAACTCAAAGGGGCAAAAACAGTGTTGCTGTCTATGGGGAAAATCTGAACTATTGACTGAACTCTTAACCTTTATGTAAAATATGCCTGAAATTTCACTGTTTATGTACTATGAACATGATGAATATCTCCCACACTGTACCGAAAGGGTTTCAGTTATGTTTTAGGAGGAAACTCCAAAAAAACCGTCCACGCATTGCTAAATAATATCTCATTAATACCACATAGTTAGGTGGTTTTTTTTACCGTTAACGAGCTAGTTTTGGTTATCAGTCCTACCAAGGGTGAGTACACCCACCATAGTTCATGGTGTAATTGTGTGCGGTAAATTTGCACTGCAATTACATTAAAAAAATTGCTATACAAGTTTATCCAACTGGTATTCAAAAATTATTTTGTAAAGCAGATTTGTTATGCAAATGGTTTGCTGAAAATTATTCCCTGGCAATTATAATTCAATGTGAATCTTAAAGTAGGTACCCTGTTTTTCATGTTTTCGTAATTCAATTTGTCATCTGATTTTCCTGCTCAGACAGTGAAATATAAGCTGTATACATTTTTCCGATGTCTTCTCTTTACAGCTTGTGTTGCAGACCATGGCCACAGGTGGAGCTACCATGTTAAAAGGTGTGGCTTCAGAGCCACGGGTACGACCGTCTGGGTCCAGGGTCAAGCGTCCCCTTGGCGGAGTTGATGACAACTTCCGCTTCAACTGGATTGGTGACAAGGATGAGGACAGACCCAATAACTATGTAATTGCTTTTTATTGGTTACAAGAAAGGAGAATGTGTTGGAATCTGATATTTATATTGGTGAAGGAGTATTCAACTGGAAGTTTATGATTTCTGGCTGATGTTACATTAGATTGTCAACGAGATGTACTGATTAAATAAATGCATTTGTAAGAAAAATTTTACAATTTTTTAACTAACTGTTGAGTGTTTAGTACCAGGAAAATTGTATTTTGATAGCAACCATTCATAAAAAACCTGCTATTGTTGGGCAATTTTGTCTATTCTTGTGGTAAGTTATGAGGCCTCACAGCGTGAAATCTTCCCTAGCTAACAAAATACTCATCTGCTTTTATTGCATGTTTGCAATACTCTCTGTTTTTATACATCACTGCAGAAAATAGCTTGGATCTGGCCTTGTATAGGCTGGAAATGTAGGTAGAAATTACGTGGTGAAAATTTCTGTTAAATTTTTCTTCACTGCAGTGGGACTGGAGGCCAAGCTCCACATTTGCCGAGCCACCTCTGGAGAGAAGAGCAGCAGCTGCGGCACCGGCCTCAGGGAAGAAGTCCAAGACCAAGAACAAGGATCGTGAGAAGACAACTGCCCCGGCCGCCACTCCCCCGGAGCCTGCATTGGCCTCGCCTCCGAGCAGGGAGCCAAGACGCCACCTCACCCCAGCTACCTACCCCCGCACCCGCAATGTGGGCAGCGCCCGGGAGAGGTTGGAGCTGGAGCAGCTGAAACGGGAACTGACGTACAGTGACATGGAGGAGGTTTGTGTGTTCACCATACGGCATACATATTCACGATGCATAAATGTTCATGATCAAGAGCTAAATTCTCACTGGTTTTTTAAATCCATCACATGTCCAGTAACTGTTTTTGGCTGTTTACCTGGCCCACATTCAAGGATCCATGTACATATTATACGTCAAACTGTGCAGATTGTCACCTGGATTGCACAGGCAACAGTCTACAGTGCATTTGCCTCATGTCTATGAAGCGTTGGCAAAACTACCCCTTTTCCCTTAGGAACTAGTTTGTCAACTTCCACTTCCTGAAGCAGCTGGTACTAACTGTCCGCCTTCTAACAATATTATAGCAACCAACTAAGGGAGACTGTTTCTCTGTATTCCAAAGGAATGTCACCTTCCCTGTCCATCACAAACGTTTCCCCGAGCATTTCTATTAGTAGCATCCCTGAATCTCCCTCATCTTTTTTAACGGGACACGAAGTCTTATGTAAAGTAAAAGGAGTGGGCTCATCCCGTCTTTCAACTTGTAATTTCCTTCAAAACTTCATTGTGAATTTGAAACATTTTGGTAGGTTAAAGTTGATGGCATCTGAAAATGCAAAGTTATTCCACAATTACGACTTTTCAACTTGAGAGCTTTTTTCCATGATTAACACGACAGGAATTAAAACATGCAGCTAAACTTTTTGAAATGCTTGATTTTGTCGTGGTCAGCAGCGGAGCACAGAGGGCCAAGCTGTTGCAGCCAACAATGCACGTCGGGACGTCAAGTTGCAGACCAAGAGAGCCCCTGGGCCAGTGAACCACGCAGACGAGATGCCACTGCTGAGTGGTGCCAATCGGCAGAAGACACCGTCTGGCAACGAGTCAGGCAACGTCAATGAAATGGTAACGGTGCTTGTTTTTGCTTGCAGAGGCGTGACCTAACCCATTTGTTTGTGTGAGAGAATGCCACACACTAGAGAAATGGATCTCTGGTCTGCTTGAGAAGTGGGCATTTTTCTCAGGACGCTTGTTCAACAAAATTCAGAAGGACATTTTGTAGATTTGACTTACTGCCATTTGCGAGCCTTGCTCATCTCAGAATTTGCACGGCCTACGTGCATTCTGTATGTGTTACAGACAATATTTCACAAGCCGCATTGACGGGTTTCAGTCACTTATTTTTAGCGCTCCTTTAAAGCTGAAACCCCCCCAAAAATGTGCCATTGGTGTCCTGCACAGTTTCGAAAGTTAGAGGATGCAGAAAGGTTTCTAGCCAAGTACCTTTGGGAGTTAGAGTTAAACTAAACAAAAAGCAGAAACACATTCTGATTGAATAGCATTCAAGGGGCTTTCAAAAGTATGCAGTGATGTTGTTCCTGTATTTTGCAGTTACAATGCCAATGTTTCTGCTCCTTATATTTCAGCCGGATAGAAACCTAATTGTAGCAAGACTTATGCAAATTAGGGTGAGTATTTGTCTTACAACATATCAAGTGTCATCTTGTACACCAAAGTCAAGTGTACCAGTTTCCTGTTACAGTTAACGGGGCTACTGAAACCAGGAACTATTTCTATGCTCAGTAAAGCATGGAAATAGAGTTGTGTGAATGTTGGAGGCAGATATTCTGAATGAGAAGGATGACGCTGATGGAATTAATAGTTCTACTTAGATGAAACTAGTTCATGGACAGAAGTAATGTGTTTGATATTGAGAAATGAAAAACAATCAATCATTGGGTGGTAAAATTTACCGTGTCGTCCTTTTCTTTTGTCTTTGAGCGAGGGCTAAAGGTCCAAATTGTGTCTGCCGATTTCACATCCATTTGCTTAGGCAGGTGACAACGCATGCTGATCTAATATCCAGTTGACATCTTTGGTTTACTTTAGAACCATTGTGCTTTTTAAAAAAGTTTGTTACATGATGTATCTGCCAACACTCTCTGTTCCATCTGTATTTTGAAAAGTGAGACATAAAAACTAGAAGCATTGAAGAATAGAGGTGTAAATACCAGAATGTTGGAGATTGGCTTGGGGTTTGGTTGTAGGTAAGGTTGTTGGTTTGTGTGGATATGGGAAGTGAAGCAAATTGTGTGACTCTCTAAGCTTCCCTTTAGATGATCAACCTCACAGACTTTGGAGTTTCTGTTGACGCTCAAGATAAGTTAGTCCAGATGAGATTGCGTGCCCCTAACCTGCACATAAAAGCCAAGTGAGTTGGACTGAATAATACAAGGTGCTGCCAACAAGCTAAGCCAAATTCAGTCTTGCAGGGGCCAATTTCATAGAGCTGCTTAAGCACGGAATTTGCTTTAGCACAAAAAAACTTGCTTAATAAAGAGAGGTTACCTGCTCAAGCTGTGATTGTCATGCTAACCAAAAGACAGGTAAATACCATTCCAAAATAATATACATCACAAGAAGTTTTGGCAGGTAATCTGATTTTGTCAAGTGAGGTTTTTTCATGCTTAAACAATTTTTTTGCTTAAGCGGCGCCATGAAATTGGCCTGTGGTGTGTCTGGCAGGCCTCCCAAGACATTCCAAGTATATCTCTTGCATTTGAATCCTTCACAGGATCTTAACAGTGCCTCCCTCTGGGTGCTTTGTTGGCGTTATACAGTGCTTACAGTCCTGTGTGTCAAAATCGTGCCAAGACTAAAAATAAGTTTGTCCCTTCACAGGACTACATGAAACAGGCCGCCTCCATGTTGGCCAACCTTAATGTGGCTCCGGCCGGCTCGGATGAACAGGCGGCCAAGCTGGTGCAGCTGCAGGCCCACCTGCAGGAGCAGGAGCGGGCCTACCTAGCCTTGCTGGAGCGCATGCTGTCAGACGAGGCGGCCGGCCGCAGCAGCCATAACTCCAACGAGTCACAGTCCACCTCCATCGCCGAGAGCACATCCATCAACATAGACGCCCAGTCGGACATCTCAGATGCCACCACGGTAAGTACTCTCCCCTTTGTATTATTCCTGATGCTGATTTCAGGGAAATGCTCAAAGATGGAGGTTTGAAATTGGAAGGGGCATTTTATAAAGAAGTGTAACCTTATCCTTTTCAGAAATCTAACAAGTTGTTCTGTGACAAGTTTGCACGAGGAAAGGTTGTGGAAGGTTTGTTCTTACTCTACATAGGGCCTAATGGCCCTCTGAATTCAGAATACAAAGAATGTCCTGTTGTGTTCCTATACAGTACTTACATTTGAACAATTCAATTTAAATGATTGGGGAAAATTTCAATCCAAAATGTCCAGTTAGGGTTAGGGTTAGGATTGAGGCTAAACCACAGCTCAACAAGTGTTGGTAAGTTTTCTGGTTCTAGTGCCTCAGCTTCAGAGTGACTCCATGCTGTGTATTTGAAGATGTTGACCTTGCCGCTGAAGTAAATATAGTGCACATCCCTGAGCCCCGCCTTGTGTTGTCAATTTCAGTAGATGGGGCATGCTGTAGGCATTCCTTCTTAACAGCAGGTAATTGACCTGTTAATTGACAATGGCATGAAAGTTTCCCTCGCTCATCACACATAACTGCTCCTTCCTCCTCCCTGCACTCCTTAATTCCCCCCTCCCCCTTCCGATCTGTCGAACAAAAATATGAAGGAGGGAACATTTACTGCACGCACAAGACCAAAGATAGAAAGCCAGCTAGGAAACTACCCCTCGGACGTTGAGTATGCCAGTGGGTCGGAAGCTTCTGTCGGTCACAGGGATGATGATGCCTCCTCCATCAGCAGCCGGAACTCTGAGCTTGCCTCGGCGCTCGGAACGATGGAACTGCATGAGCAGTTCAGCGCCATGCTCCGGAAGTACGAGGAGCAAGGCGAGCAGGATGAGGTGCCCGTTGCCAGGGAGACAGTTGCCGAGAGACGGGCCAGTGTCGAGGATGAGGAGGAACTGGCATCGGCCATGTCCACCCTCACCGCTCACTCGGCAGAGCCAGTGGAGGTACGCATGAGGCTACTTGTTACAAGCCCTGCAGTTCAAGGGGGGTGAGCCTGGTCTAGCGTTGTTGGTTGGATTGGAGAAGCCCTGTTGGAGTCTTGGAACTGGACTGCTGCATGGTGAATGCTTGGCTCCAGGAAAAAAAACAGCATGTTGAAGTGTTCTGTGCCACGTTCAAGGATACAAACCATTCACTGAAAGAGTCCATGTCAAAGATACAAAATTGTGCAGGTGCACTGGCCGGTTTCATGAACTTTGAATACCGTGGTGCTTTTACATTTTCAGTGACACACATTCTTCAGCAACTGTCCAATGATTCAATCAAAACCACATATTCTGCATGGTGTTACACGCAACAAGGTGCACTCTATCAGTTATCAAGCTAGAGAAAGAGCCAGGAATGTTTCACAAATTTCAGTTTTGCATGTGCACTGGTATGATCATCTGTTACTGAATCGAGTGATTGCATGTGGCGGAGTATTGAAAGGGGGCAAATCATAACCAAAGTTAACCTTTACTTTGGTCATTCAAAGCATATATGTATGTGAACGTAACTCAAGGCATGTTACACCTTCAACCAAGTTTTTTTGTAAAATATTTCATCTTTTTTAGCCTTTCATGCTTAGTCCAGTTTTTCTTTATAGAAATTTGTATTTTAAAATTTCAAAAATGTTAGAATCCTTCCTGTTTGAACTGTTCTTTTTCTCGTTGTAAACTGAACGATGGCCCATCAAAAAGAAAACAACACACCTCCTTCATTACAATTGCCACCTTAAAGCCTCCAAAGGTTGATTTTTGTATTAGGGTCATTGCAGATATTAGGGGTCCAAAAGATAGACATTTTTGTGTCCCTGTTACATCTGACCTTTGTTATTTGACATGGAAATATCGCCGGAATTGATTTCAAACTATTACTATTTGTTTGGCAGGTAATTTGCATTAATCAGCACTCTGAGAAATTAGAAAATGTGTTCTGAACTTACAAAATCATTGTCAGATGTGATAAGGACACACACAAAAAATGGACCCCTAATGTCTGGAATTACCTATTTGCATTTCCTTCATTCCTTACTGACGGCTGATAAATACGTATTACAGTCTCTCCTTGGAAACTGCAACATTTGCCACAACTTCTTGTAACATTCACAGTAGGCTGAATATAAATCCCATGTTCAGCTAATGTGAATGTGGTTGCAGATCTTTCCATTTGTGATGCCATTCTTCTGTTAAGGCTTTATGACATAGTCCACTGGTCAGAAGCTCAAATTCAAACGAAGATTCGAGACTTTGTCTCCACGTTTGACCAGTCTCACCCCTGGCAACTGTACAGATATTAAACTTACAAGAGTACTTACAAGTCTTCAGACATGTTAGGACAAAACAATTCACAGTATTGTGTCCGTTATGTGATGTCCAATCTTCATTGTTATTCCACACTAGCCCACTCACATCCATTTTGTAATTGAAGTTTATGTGGAAGTCTAATGCTCATTGTTTTTTGAGAAATAGCTGCCTTATTTCAGGTATTTGCATTTCACTTCCCTGTTTTTAACAGCTATGTTTTTATTGAGTCAATGTGCCCCTAGCTGTTTTGGACATTGACCTAGCCATTTTCAACTGCAGCTTTTGGTCCAGGGGCATTTTCTTAGTGTCAGTTGGATTTCATAAAACATGTAGAATCACACACTTGCCACAGTTCAGTTGTAACCATGATATCACAGCTAGAGGATATGTAAATGACAGCACCCATATGTAAATCACAGCACCCCATCAATACAAATAGTTATCTTACACTTTTACTAACATGGTCGTCTTTTGTAGAACTGTCAGAGTCAGTGTCACTTGGATGATTCATCATTGTTCTTAATTTTAAGCCTTACTAGTTTCAATCCATGGAGATCCGTATCCTCATTTTGCGGTGTTTTCATGAATGTTAAACTGCCACTTCCTGCTACCCTTTTTCTAAATGAGGCTTGAAGTCAATTGAGAGACGCAGCTGCAGCTGTTGATGCAGGGGTAAAAAGTGGGATGCAAATGCTCATCCTCTGCAGCACGTATTGTAGTACGGTCATTCAAAGTAGCCGGCCATTATGTCACACACCCCGTCTGGTTGTGTTTTGAGTGAATCGGCAGGGGATTTACAAAGGCTGGCCGTTGAAATTGAATCCTGTGAAGTGCTCTGTTGACACAACATTAACACACAAGTTTACTTTTGTCTTTGGCGTAGACCTCTCAAGGACACTCGCCATTGTATAACAGTCATTCCTCCCCCCCCAAATTAAAAGAACAGATGTTAAAGAACCCTTGACAGTGTTGGACACTGTCGCAAATCAGTTAAGCACATTTGGTGATTTGCCAGGTGGAAAAACCTCTACCGATTCGCTTAAAATTGTGACATCTACTTCGGTGAAATTTTTAGACTGGACTATTGTGTAACTTCAGCAATAAAAATTCCATGTAAGTTCATCAAACGTAATTACTTGCTGCTCAGACAGTTTGGGCAGCGAAGGTATTTTTCAGCCATTCACTGTCTCCGTGGGTTTCACACACCCCCCTCACTGAAGTTCTCCCAATGAAAGTTCACAGCTTACACGTAAGCGTACCGTTACTTTACCCGTTACAGGGCAATGTGGACATCAAGACACGCTTGGAGGAGCTGGAAGGCCTCCGCCAGCAGCACGATCTCCTCAAGAAGATGTTACAGCAACAGGAAGAGGTAACCGCCGTCCCACACACTCACAAGGCTTTGTACTAGGAGAGTGACCTTGGTCAAGTTCCAAGCAGACGTAGTAACTGTTCTTAAACTGGGTACTTGGATGCAAGACAGCTGAGAGAAACTGACCGAACTGTTTGAATTTCACAAAGAAAAAATATATACTGGATAATGACAAGTGTGTGCTGGATTTTAAGTACAAGTAAAGTACATGTAGAATGTTTGTCAAATTTTCAGTCGTATGTGATAAAATATTGTAAAAAATGGGACACATTAACCTTAACCCCCAGGCCCTTTTGCTAGGGACCCTCCTCAATCCTCCAGAATCCTCCAATTTGGGGGTGAAAAAATTAGATTCTCCCTTAATCTTCCAAAATCCTCCAAAATGTCTTGAAAATGTTACTTGGAGGTACGCCCTCCAGCGATTCCTGTCATTGTGTTGAGGCAGTGCAAATGGCATCCTTGAGCAGTGCAGTTGATTCAAAAGAAATATCAGGCTGAACTTATGCATGACTAAGCAACAATAATACAAGGGCACCCACAACCTTCACTGCTGGCATCCGTTGCATTCAGCCATGCACTTTTGCCATTCACCCTCAATCACCCAAAATCCTCTAAAACCGCCCAGAGGATTTTGGAGGATTGAGGAAGGTTAGGGTTAACAGTGAATAGAAATCTTCCAATGTTTGATGGTAATCTTGAAGAAGCTTCTGATCTTGTTCTGTTTGATCTTGCCCTTACAGCTTCGTGCGTTACAGAATCGACAGAACGCGCTGATGAAATTACAGCAGGACATTGAAGGGAGACTGAGACAGTCGGAAGACCAGAACGCAGACACAAGTAAGGATGATGTACCCTGCACGCAGGCTGTCCGAACAGCTTCATTTGAATCGTTTCATTTGAGTGCTGCAATTGCTGGTTCTGAAAGAATTGCATCAAAAGCGTATGCACGATGTTGTTACGGTTGTAAAAGAGGCCTATAATTGGAGAAAAAGTGGCAATGGGAGTTGAAAACTTTCAGAACATATTTGGCTGCCAAACTAAAGACAAGAATTGGAGAGGAAGTAAACGGGGTTGGGTAGTTAAAATGTTTTTACGTTCTCGAGTTTGCATGTTTCAGTTCTGTTTCAGTCGTTTTTTTTATTACAAAATTGAGAAGATAATTTTGGTGGAATCATTGATCCCTGGTGTACTTTTCCCAATGGCATACCAGGCTGAAGGTTGCTCAGCACCAACCATCTATCCCATGAAATTCTTAAATCTCAGAAGGATTGTTGGATTGTGGGAGGTTATGCTTTCTGTAGGCCTGGCATTTGTTTGTAGGACAGTAACATTAAGTGAGCTTTATTATTGTTTGATTAGGTTAAAGGTTGTCTGTTAATGGGATATTCTCATATGAAAAAGAAAGGGTCCATATGTGGGTTTCCTCTTCTCTTTTCTCACAGCGTCCCAGAGCACCTTGGATGTGAGTGTACAGTCCGAGCCAACCGAGGAGCAACTCCCCGGCCCCCGGCTGGCCGCCTCCGACTACAGCCGGGGAGGTGGCGTCCCAGACCTGAGCGAGCGGCGCCGGGAGCTGCTCAAGAAGATCCTGTCAGAGGATGCAGCCCGCCGTGCCCCCGAGATGCAACGGGCCCGGATGCTGGACAGGCTAGAAATGGCCGAGAGAGAACAGGTATCACGATGCCCAGGGATTCTTAGGCCACCACTTAATCGCTCGGCTATGGGCTGGAATTAACACTTAAGACACAAAACACGATAAAGGGGGTCAGTCATGTTAACAATATTTTCCTTTGGGTATGAATTTCTGCATTTTAGCACCCAGGAACGTGTTATCTTTGTAAATAGAAAGCAGTCTGTGGTTAAAATGAAACAGTAGATCATTTCATTTTGTTTACAAAATTGAAATTCCCAAGTTGGTCGTCAAAAATGGACGGAACAAAATTCACCTGTCAAGTTTGACATTGAAATGACATTTGCAAAGGGCAACAACCTCAAAGCTCCAGAAATCAAATTGATTACTTTCCTTAACACCTTGACAAGAGCTGCACCTTGACAAGAGCTAAGCTTGTCTCACTTGCGTAGTGCTCGTGTGCCTGCGTAGATGCAGTGCCAGTCTTGAGCTGTGGATTTTTAAAATGCGTTCTGCCCCCCAACAGTGACCAACGTTGGCCCTCTTCGCGCCGCATGTTGACGACATCCTCATGATAACTCTGTTGGTCTGTCCTTGTCACAGAATGAAATGGCAGCTATGAACTCGGAGCACGAGGACCTGCTGAGCACGCTGCATGCCTTGCAGCAGAAGAAGAACCACATGGACGAGTTACTGAGGCAGCTGCAGGAACTCAGACCCAGCATACCCGGGGCAGCTGGTGAGTAATAAGACAGACTCAAAGGGTCATGCCGTAGAGCAGCCAACGTCTTAAAGATCTGCTGATGTAAAACCTGTCATAGTCGAGATGTTGAGACTGAAGTCTGATTGATACCTAGCCAAACCCTATGTGAATATGCATTTGATGCAGCAAATTCTGCCTTGTGTGAAATTGAAATTATACAAATCTTTGCTGCCTATAGTTTCTTAAATATGTGTTTACAGTCATGCAGTTTGCTCTTGAGTATTAACAGGAAGTGGAGTTTGGTTTTGTTGTGAAAAAGAGGGAGTTGTTGCTTTCGTTTGTCACTCAGTTGTATGTGACTGAATGTGTTTTTCTTCCTTCTCTAACAGACACCGACTCTGCAGTGAGCGGAGCGTCCTCTAGCCACCTCCTGCAGCCAGCCGAGCTACAGCAAGGGGAGGAAGTCAAGGAGGCCCAGCTGGTGGGATCATCTGACGAGAATGAAGCCATGGACAAGCTCAGGTAGTGTCTACACACCAATGCCTTGTTCAACACATCACAGATTCCAGTTATTGAAAGTGGGGCCCACGTCATGTGGCTCTGCCAAGCCTTTGATTTTAATGCAGGTTGAGCTTGGTTCAGTGTCATTGAGGTGCTTAGCACAGAGATCGGCTGAGTAAATAAAATTCTTGTTACAAATGTGCTACGAATCAAATTATCACACGTCCTGTGCTCACAGATATTTTTTGCTTAGCAAGTAAATTGGTTTTAAACAATGTTCTCTGCTTAGCGGCTCTGTAGATAAAATTTGCTCCTGTATACTGAGTCCTTTTTACGGTCCACCATATGTGTTTAAAATGAAAAATTGTGTAGGAGGAACCATGCCTACAAAAGAAGGCAGTGTGAGAAGATCTTGTAATGAGTGGTACCATTGGACTCGTCCCTATACTGCTAAAAATCCCATAACTTTCCAAGGTTGCATTTTGTCCATGGC